GGCTTGGCATATTCTCAACACCATATGGGGGTGCGCAGGGGGTGGTCTCTCACCGCGGCCGCTATCCGTGACGGTCGTCCAGGGCACAGCAGGCACGGCATATTCTCGACACCATAGGGGGTGCGCAGGGGGTGGTCTCTCACCGCGGCCGCTATCCGTGACGGTCGTCCAGGGCACAGCAGGCACGGTATATTCTCGACACCACGGGGGGTGCGCAGAGGGTGGTCTCTCACCGCGGCCGCTACCGTGACGGTCGCCCATGGCACAGCAGGCATGGCATATTCTCGATACCATAGGGGGTGCGCAGGGGGTGGTCTCTCACCGCGGCCGCTATCCGTGAGAGTCGTCCATGGCAGAGCAGGCATGGCAGAGTCTCGACACCATAGGGGGTGCGCAGGGGGTGGTCTCCCACCGCGGCCGCTATCCGTGACAAGCGTCCAGGGCACAGCAGGCATGGCATATGCTCGCCACCATAGGGGGTGCGCAGAGGGTGGTCTCTCACCGCGGCCGCTATCCGCGACGGTCGTCCAATGCACAACAGGCATGGCAGATTCTCGACACCATAGGGGGTGCGCAGGGGGTGGTCTCTCAGCGCGGCCGCTAGCCGTGACAGTCGTCCATGGCACAGCAGGCACGGCATAATCTCGACACCGTAGGGGGTGCGCAAGGGGTGGTCTCTCACCGCGGCCGCTATCCGTGACGGTCGTCCATGGCAGAGCAGGCATGGCAGATTCTCGACACCGTAGGGGGTGCGCAGGGGGTGGTCTCTCACCGCGGCCGCTATCCGTGACAACCGTCCAGGGCACAACCAACATGGCATAGTCTCGCCACCATAGGGGGTGCGCAGGGTGTGGTCTCTCACCGCGGCCGCTATCCGTGACGATCGTCCATGGCACAACATGCATGGCATATTCTCGACACCATGGAGGGTGCGCATGGAGTGGTCTCGGACCGCTGCCGCTATCCGTGACGGTCGTCGAGGGCACAGCAGGCATGGCAGATGCTCGACACCATAGGGGGTGCGCAGAGGGTGGTGTCTCACCGCGGCCGCTGTCCGTGACGGTCGTCTAGGGCACAGCAGGCATGGCATATGTTCTACACCATAAGGGGTGCGCAGGGGGTGATGTTTCACCGCGGCCGCTATCCGTGACGCTCGTCCATGGCACAACAAGCATGACATATTCCAGACACCAGAGAGGGTTTGCAGGGGATGGTCGTTCACCGCGGGCCGTTATCCGTGACGGTCGTCCATGGCACAGCAGGCAGGGCGTATGCTCGCCACCATAGGGGGTGCGCAGGGGGTGGCCTTTCTTCGCGGCCGCTATCCGTGACGGTCGTCTAGGGCACAGCAGGCATGGCAGATTCTCGACACCATGGGGGGTGCGCAGGGGGTGGTCTCTCACCGCGGCCGTTATCCGTGACGCTCGTCCAGGTCACAGCAGACATGGCACATTCTCGGCACCATGGGGGTGCGCAGGGGGTGGTCTCTGAGCGCGGCCGTTATCCGTGACGGTTTTCCAGGGCACAACAGACATGACACATTCTCGACGTCATGGAGGTGCGCAGGGGGTGGTCTCTCAGCGCGGCCTTTTATGCTTGCCATGGTCGGAGAGCGTGTCGGGCATGACATTGTTTCGGCACCACAGGGGGTGCGCTGGGGTTGTCTCCGTATCCGCTGCGGGCTCGCAAAGCGTCGCAGTCATAGCGTATCCTCGACACCATAGGGGGGATGCGCATGGTCTCTCACCGCGGCCGCTATCCGTGACGGTTGTCCAGGGCACAGCAGGCATGGCATATTCTCGACACCATAGGGTGTGCGCAGGGGGTGGTTTCTGAGCGCGACCGCTATCCGCGACGGTCGTCCAGGGCGGTCGATGAGGAGGCGGAGAAGGAGGAAGAGGAGGAGGAGGAGGAGGAGGAGGAGGAGGAGAAGGAGGAGGCGGAGGAGGGCGGTGGAACGCACGGAATGTGAAACTGTGGGGGGAGGCTTGACGATGAGGACGAAGGAGCTCATCCAGGAGAGCGGAGGAAAGCAGGGAATGAGAATCGGTGGGAAGAGGATGGACGACGAGGGCGGTGGTGGTGACAGTGTGGTGCACATCAGACGTAAAACAAAGGATGTGGGGTTTCTCGGTAGCGTAATTCTTGCATGCGTAGTGTCAGAAGCGAAGGTCTGGCAGTCGAGCTCAGAACGGCCTGCGTCAGGTGCTGGCGGAGACCGAGAGGCTGAACCTCTCGGCCGGCTCCGTGGCGTTCCAGAGCATCAAGGCCGTCATTCGCCCAACCTTCGCTGCTGGATTTCCGATTGCCGTCCCAACTTTTACGTCTACCCGCCAATTTGGAAATTCGAAGCGGAGGTGCATGCTGCGAATTTGTCCAAATCGAGTGTTTACCACATGAGTGATTCGTATAATGCGTTCCTTGTTCTGCCAGGGGCCCTGCCGATGGGTTTTTGTGGACAGCGTGATGGTGGATTACCGACTGGTGGGAGGAGAGGGTGAGCAATGGGGAGTTCACGGGATAATGTGTAGCCTAGCCTAGCCCAGATTTGCTTGGCATTGTTCGGGCCTCACACTCACATGTCGGCCCGAAGACTGTCACAGGACGGACGGGCGGCATGCCGCCGAGGGCGAGAGCTCAACGAGGCGGGGTCGCGCCAGCAGTTTTCCCCACTCACGGTCGAGGCTAAATGTGGGTGAGTGTGATGACCAGTCCTCGCGCATGGGATGGGGCCCATCCTCAGCCGTGCAGTACCCAAGAGTCCTCAGGAGGGCTGTATCAGACAATAATCTCTTTGCCGTAGACGTTCCCAATCCGTTTCCTCGCGCTCATCTCCAGCGGTTGAATATATCCGCGTTTTTCAATGGGCTTTTGTATTATCAGACCTTCGCCCCCTTCGTTCTCTCCTTTGGTTGTATTGCGTTTAGCGCTTTTCGCGGGGGGGGAGCAAGAACGGGCGGTGGGGGCCTTTCTGAGTCTTAGTGCTAGAGTTCAGAGCCCCCTCTTGTGTCCTTGCATGATCTTGTTGCCCCCTTTCGGCTCTGCTAGCCAGGTTCCGTGTGGACCCTCGCTAAGTGCTGTCGACGCAGGGACAGAAGTGCAAGACCCTCTGCCCGAGGAGGAGGAGGAGGAGGAGGAGGAGGAGGAGGAGGAGGAGGAACACGAAGAGGAGGAAGCGGACGACCACGACCACGCCCCGACGATGACGACGCCCACCACCACCACCACCACCACCACCACCACCACGACGACTACCACGACCACGACCGCGACCACGGCAACGGCCACGGCCACGGTCACGGCCACCACGACGACGACAACGACGATGACGACGACAAGGAGGAGGAGGAGGAGGAGGAGGAGGAGGAGGAGGAGGAGGAGGAGGAGGAGGACGAGGACGACGACGAGGACAAGGAGGAGGAGAAGGACGAAGAGGAGGATGAGGAGGAGGAGAAGGCGGAGGAGGAGGAGGAGGAGGCGCCCCGAGGGGCCCCGCCGTCAGGCGTCCTCGAGCGCCGACGGCGCGGCGCCGCCGCAGGCCAAGGCGCGCCTGAGCCGCCCGTGCCGCCTTGGAGCGGGCGGGTGAGCGGGGCACGAGGAGGATTGCCCAAGGATTACCCCAAGCCGACGCCATCGGGCCACGCTGAGGAGGAGGAGGAGGAGGAGGAGGAGGAGGAGGAGGAGGGGGAGGAGGAGGAGGAGGCGGGGGAGGCTGGTGGGCAGGTGAGCGAGGCACGAGGAGGATTGCCCAAGGATTACCCCAAGCCGACGCCATCGGGCCACGCTGCATCATGTGGAGATCGCTTGAGTGGGCTGCCTTCGCAAAGACGCTGAGGGGCCCAAGCCCCCATCTTGGCGGGTGGCTCACGGGAGGGGGGGAGGAGGAGCAGGAGGAGAAGGAGGAGGGGAAGGCGCGCGGGCGGGTGAGCGGGGGGGAGGAGGGACTGGTGGGCGTTTCGCGCGCAGCCGTTGCATCAGTTACGCAGGAAGGCTCTGGGGAAAGAGAGGGGAGAAGCCTCGACGTCCTCCTTCTGAGGTTCCAGGCTCCTTCGCGTCGCGGCACCCGCGGCGCAGAGGGTGAGGATGGTTGAGGCCGAGCGGAGGTGGAAAGCGTGGAGGGAGGGCGATTCATCTGGCACATTGTCACGTGAACGTTTTCCGAGATGCTCAGCATAGTGCAGGAGTGTCGCTGCCTTTCAGAGAGAGGGATGCCCCATGGGGTCCCGGGTGGGCTTCCAGTGGCCGAGATTCGACAACATGGGCCGTCGTGATGCTCTTCCGCGACGCTGTGAGCTCTGGGTCGACTTTTCCAGGCACCCCATCGGCCCTCGACCCTTCCCTCGCCCTTCCCCGACGGCGCCGGCGGCGAGGGGCCGGTCGGCCCCGATGGGAGAGCTCCTCGGAGGGCCGGGCACCCGCAGGCCAGCACGCGCGTCGCCGCTCTCAAGACATGCATGCTACGGTGGGGGCGGGGGGGGGCGTTCGTTAAGGGATGTGCCCAGCAGGCAGCCGACCCTGGAGGGTTCCTTATCTGATGAGGGCGGCGGTGGTATCCATGGCCGACCAGCTTCCAGACCTTGGATTCCTTATTCAAGGGTTCTTTGACCAATGCCCCCACCGTGCTCATCCGCCTTCTTGTCAGGAGGCCCTGTTTTTTTTACGAGCAGCGCGCTAGAATGTGGTCGTCCGACACGCGCGGCCCCAAGACGCCCTTCAGGCAAGTTTCTCGAGCTGCAGCTGTGGCGACGAATGCGCCCCCGAAGGTTCAAGCAGGTTCGAGAAACGTCCCAAACCTCGATTCGGCCTCCACCCTCCAGAGCTTCCGCTCGGCACCAGCGGTGCAGAAGGTCGGGAAGGTGGAGGGGTGGCGGAAAGATTCGATGAGTGAACCTCGATCCCCGAGGAGGGGGCGAGATGCCCTCATCAAGCGGGCCTCGTACGGAGATGCATCGCTCTGTGGCGTCTCGGAACGATTTCAGGCACCCTCCAGACCCGCCGGTCTGCCTCGGTCCGACTTCGGGTTTTTCTTTTATACCGCGGGCCCCCGGGGGTCTCTGCCAGTGCCCCGTCCCTGGATTTCTGATTATGTTACCCCGAGTTGTTGTTTGAAGGCCGCTCGTTTCCGGCCAGCGCGCCAACCTGCTGTAATTCTTCCGGGGCGGTCTTGCCCCACCGCCTGCGACTTTGTCGCGCCTAAGCTGCAGCCTGCCGACGACTGCCTCCACGGTCTGCGTTCACCCCTCTGCGTGCTCCCCCTCCCTCCGCGGCCGCCCTGCCCTCCCTTTTCCCGCCTCTTGCCGGGCTCAACTCGCTGCTCAGCAACTCTGAGCTGCTCCACCGGGCCGCGCGCTCGCCCGGCCTGCGGACAAGATTTTTGGCTGCCTCTGGGCCTGGCAAGGCATAGCTCGGGCCTCCGGTGGCCATTCGGGCCGACTTGGGCACCCGCGGAGCACCTGCCAGCGAGGCGCAGCCGCTGGAACGCCTCCCGAGCCTGGAAAAAGCCGCCGAGAACCATCGAGAATACCCGAAAACCTCAGACCTTGAAACTTCGTTCCCTTCAGTCGGCCACGCGCCGAGGAGGGTAATTATGGCAGAGGGGGGGATGCTTCTTAGAAGCACACCTGCTTCTTGGAAGGTGCGGGCCTCGTCTCTAGTCTAGTTGTGCAGTCGAGCGTCTGATTAAGAAACCTCCCCGAAAAGCTGGGCCAGCGTTTCTGAACCAACTTGCTGGAACGCTGGCCCAATTTCTGGAGCGCGTTCGCCCATCCAGCGTTTACAACAGAAACTGGCCCAGTCTTGTTTCAAGCAACTTCCGGGAAGTAGGCCAAGGACTCTGGAGTGACAACTTTCTGGAGCATAAGTTCGGCTGCCGGGCCGGCGCCTTCTCAGAAGCAGCCTCCTTCTGCGAAGCCTCCCCCCTCCCCCTCACACCCCCCTCGTGCGCGCGGCCAGCTCGTTCCCTCAGGTCGGCGACGGGCCTCCGGGGTCCTCGGGCGCGCCCGCCGCCCGGGCGCCCGAGAGGTCTACGGCGGCGGCGCCAGCCCGAAGGACGCGGACCGGCTGCGGCGCCAGAGGTCCGACGCGGCAGTGTACAACACCGCCACGTACGCTCCCCAGGAGCGGCGCCGCTGGCGGCCGACCCGGACCGTGGTTGCCTCAACACGCCCGTTTTGAAGCGCAACACGTACCGCGTTCAAGACGTCCGTGTTGATACGTTGCGTGTCGGCTCCGCGCGTTGGCCCATGTTTGGGCGAACGCATCGCGCCAAGCGTACGTTTTCAATCTACGTGTTTAGCGCTCCGTGTCAATAATACGCTACGAGCTGCGTGTTGCGTATCGGGGCGGCTAGGACCAGATCCGGGAGAAGCGGACATAACTCCGCATCCGCGCCCTCGCGGTCTGGGCTCCCAGGGGCGATCCCGCGGATAGGCGGTCGCACGGATGGGTTCCGCGGAGCATCCTCGACAAAGTGCCCCATATCCGAGGGGTCGCGGCCCAGGGGCTTGGCCCGCGAGGCCGCGTACACGGATACGTTTTTCGCCCACGACAGATCTCTGAGGTTTTTTTTGGGGGACTGTTTTGTCCCAACCATCCTGTGAGGTCGGGTCCTCGTTTTGAAGAGGCAGTTCCCCACGTCTCTCCTCCTCTCCTCTCCTCCTCTCCCTTCCTCCTTCCTTCATCATCATTATTTGCACCATCATCATCACCATCATCATCAGCATCCGACTTATCATCATCACAATCATCGTCATCATCACCACCACCATCATCATCGTCATCCTCCTTATCATCATCCTTCTCTCCACCATCATCATCATCTTCATCATCAGCATCGTCACCATCATTATCATCATCTTCATCATCATCGTCATCCTCATCATCATCATCATCGTCATCATAGTCATCATCATCTTCAGTATCGTCATCATCATCCTTATCGCCTGGTCGTCGTCATCACCATCACCATCATCAGCAGCAACATCATCATCATCATCATCATCACCATCATCATCATCATCATCATCATCATCATCATCATCATCACCATCTCCTCCTCCTGCTTACGCTCCTCTTCCTCCTCCCCCTCCTCCTTCTCGTCCTCCTCCTCCTCCTCGTCCTCGTCCTCCTCCTCCTCCGCCTCCGCCTCCGCCTCCTCCTCCTCACCATCATCATCATCATCATCATCATCATCATCATCATCATCATCATCATCATCATCACCATCACCATCACCACCACCATCACCATCACCATCACCATCACCATCACCACCATCATCATCATCATCACCACCATCATCATTATCATCGTCATCATCGTCATCATCAGCATCATCATCATCATCGCCACTCATGTCGGCACACCCCACACAAGTTTCGTTGTCCTATCCACCGAAGGCCCCAGTGGCGGTGTTCGCATGCGCCCCCCCCCACCCAGTACAGCGCTTCGTTGCCCCGCAGGGAGCTCCACCGAAGGCCCCAGTGGCGGAGCTCGTATGCGTTCCCCCCCATCCAGCACAGCGTTTCGTGGCCCCGCAGGGAGCTCCACCGAAGGCCCCAGTGGCGGTGTTCGCATGCGTCTCGCCTCCTCAGTACAGCGCTCCGTGGCCCCATAGGGAGCTCCACGGCAGGCGTCAGTAGCGGTGTTCGCATGCGTCTCCCTTACCCAGTATAGCGCTTCGTGGCCTTATAGGGAGCTCCACCGAAGGCTCCGGTGCAGGGAGTTCCACCGAAGGCCCCAGTCTGGTGGCGGAGCTCGCATGCGTCTCCCCCGCCCAGTACAGCGTTTCGTGGCCCGAAAGGGGGGCTCCATCGAAGGCCCCAGTAGCGGTGTTCGCATGCGTCTCCCCCCCCAAGAACGGCGCTTCGTGGCCCCGCAGGGAGCTCCACGGAAGGCCCCAGTGGCGGTGTTCGCATGCGTCTCTTATCTTCCACCCAGTACAGCGCTTCGTGGCCCCACAGGGAGCTCCACCGAAGCCCCCAGTGGCGGTGTTCGCATGCGTCTCCCCCGCCCAGTACAGCGCTTCGTGGCCCCGCAGGGAGCTCCACCGAAGGCCCCGCGCCGCGTTTTTCCTGCGGCGCGCTACCTGTGAGAGCAGAGGCTATGCCGCGTGCGCTAGTCGGAGTTGGCGTGCCGCCCTCCTCCTTCTCATCTCCCCCGCGGCATTCGCAGCTGCAAATGGTTGAGTCCTTCAGCAGGCTACTTTTTTGAGGGGGGCGGTTGTTTCAATCCGACGGTGTTCCCTCGATTTGTGGCGCGCCATCAGGCCTCGGGACCATCATACATGGGACCCCGGAGGGGAAACTGCGTCTGGGGGGAAGAGGTCGCGAGGGCCTCCTGGGGCTCCGCATGGAACGAAGCGTGTCTTCGGATGCCCAGAGGGGGGAGCTGGGCCACACGTTGTTCGGAGCGTGCTCTTCTCCCTTTCCCGCGCTCCCCTCCCTCTGCTTCTTACGGTGCCCACACGGGCCTCGTGTGCCTGGCGCCTGCCCCCGGCCGCGGTCAGGATGCTCCTCGTCGAACTTACAAAAGTCTTGGGGTGATCGGGGACCGCCTTTTCCTCACGGTTTCGGTTCCTCCTGGTCCTCCGGGGGCCTCCGGATATCTGCTGGGGCCTCCCTGGAGGTCGTTGTCGCCGCGTCCGCCGTCGCAGGAGAAGCAGGAGGAGGGACGGGAGAGGGAAGGCGTCAACAGGTTCTATATTTGTATTATGGGTTCAGAGGTGTTCGCCGAGGAGGCGGAGGAGTGCGGCGATGAAGAGGAGGAGGGAGGGGGGGCGAGGGTGTAGAGGGGCAGGACGATGCCGACGACGACGACTAGGGGAAGCCTGGGGAGGCGAGAGAGGAGGATGCGGAGAAGGACGCCTTCGTCGAGGGGGACGAGGGAAGAGGAGGGCGACAAAGACAGTCAAGAGGGTATGATTGAGGGGATAGAGGGTGGATCGCAAGGTTCTCATCATCCTCATCGACCTCTTGATTCCTGATTCCCGATGGCTGGAAAGATCGTCGATCATAGCCCTCTCATCCACCTCCTTCTCCTTTCCGTTGAGCCAGCGACGAGGGGCCCCTGTGAAACCGTGGACCCTGTCAGAGTTCACGGCAAGTCGATGACGCGTGTTTAACACGGGCTGGATGTGTCAGGGCTTTGAAACGATTGCGTACATTATCATTTTTTGTTCCTTTTCTTCGTCTTTCTCTTTTAAGTTGGCCGCATTCTGCTGGGGGCACTGGTGCGCTGTCGCTCCGGCTTGTTTTCAGCTGACAGAGTGATGGCGAAGTCTTCGTGGCCAGGCGCAATGTCTATGCGGCCGATGCCTTACAGTCGTCTCGGGGCATCCTCGCGACCCTAACCCCTAACCCTCTTTGTCGTGTCCGCCCTTGCGACGCAAGGGTACGGCTTACAGTCAACCTTGGAAGTCAGGATGAGCGATGTTCCAAGGTTGCCTTTGCATCCTGCCCCTTCGGCCCATCCTTGGCCACTCTCGCTGGCTGCGCCCCCCTCGAAAAGCGTCGACACGGCCTTCCAAGGCCCCTGCATCCTTGTCGTGCATCCTCAGTGTGAGGGCTGACTGCACTCTTCATGCCGACCTTCAGGCGTGGACGACATCGCGGGCAGGGGGTGACTTGTTCCTGGGGGTCGCCCCGCGAGCACGCCATCGCAGCGTCCACGGGAGCTGAGGAGGGCGAGCCCCCCGCAAACGTGTGGATCCCACGCCGGCGTTCCGCATGGTGGTGACGATCACTCGGGGGCTCGTAGAGAGAGGGTCATCCCAAGGTGGCGCTGGGGAACGGGCCCAGCCAGATGCTCCTGTTTAACGCGTTCCCTTCTTCCAGGGACCCGCCGGAGCGATTTTCCTTCCAAGCCCACCTTTGCCCCTACCCCACCTTTTTGCCCCCCCGCGAATTGTCAGTGCTGTTGTTCTGTCTCATGGTGGTGACAGCCTCGATAGGATGCACACACAGCGCTACTGCCAGTTTCCGTCGCCTCGCTCTTGTCCTCCTGTGAGCTGTGAGCTGATGGCGTGAAGTTCGGTACCGATGTCGCCTTCCCCGCCCCCAGGGCCGGCAGGGGGTTGATCAAACTCGTTCCAGGCGACCCTTTGGAGCACCACTCCAAGGGTCGGCGGCGAATGGGGATAACTGAAACAGTAGTAGGGAATCGACATACCTACAGCGTACAGGGGTAAAGCAGGGAAGCAGAGGAAGGAAATGACCTCGATGGCGAAGAGATGGAGTGGCCAGTTGCGTTGGCAGCGGCAGTGGGATCCACATGTTCTTTATTTGGCGCCTGGGCACTCGTGGGCGGTGCCGCTCTTTGTCCTCCTTCTCCTCCTCCTCTGCCCTCGTCCCTTGGTCACGTCATCTTCCGTTCCGCCTGACGGCCAGCAGCCACGCTAGTGGACCATCCAGCTTCCCTGTGTCGTAACGTAGTTCGGGAGCGCGGTCTTTTGCGAGATTTGACGCATGCGGGCCAGAGGATTCATGAACCTTGGTTGGTCGCGTGGATTGAACACATGTTGCTCTGTGGCCCTTCGTGCCTCGGACGGCCTCGGTTTGCAGGGTCTGTAGCGATCGACCCGTGACAGTTCTTTGGTCGCGACCTTTGCGAGGCTACTTGGTCAATTTTGCAAAACGCACCGCGCAATCAGAGGAGTTATTTGGGGCCCTCCTGCTCGCCAGGGGTAGCGCTGGATAGGTGCAGTCGGCCTGCGTGTGCAGCGGCAGCCTTTGCACTGGATCGGTGGGTGTGTGTGCGTGCTGGCAGGACGGCCGCAGACTGCCCCTGAACGCGACGACCTGTTTTGCGTGCCTTGCCGTTTGCATTCAGATACGTGCGTTGCCCCCCTGGCCTGCGCGCTGGAGTGCAGGAGCTGCGCCCAGTGCCCTGCGCAGGGAAGCATGCATCAGCGCATGGGGGGGATTGTGGCTGGCAGGACTGTCGCACACCGTCCCTGAACGCGACGACTCATTTTGCAGGCCTTGCCGCTTCCGTTCCGATGCGTCGTTCCTGCTTGGCCTGCTTGCCGGGGTGCAAGAGCCGCACGCGTGTCCAGCACAGGACAACATGCAGCAGCGCCTGTGGGGGGTGGGGGGGGGGCGGGGGGATCGCTCCCAGTACTACCACAGCAACGGCTATGCTGCGCTCGGCGTGGTCAATGCCACGGGCACTCGCCTTAGAGATGGATGGTGGCTGGGTTGGTGGCCTCGGGCAGTCGTGGTACAGCTGTTTAGCATCTCGACAGTTGCAGTCTGAAGTCGTCCCCTATGCTTCACATCTCTGGTACGGCCAGGGCTCGCTCGCACCTATCTTACGACACAACCTCTGGGAGGTAAAATACAGCATCGGCGCTGAAGCATCTGTGGTCGAAAACCGGCATAATCTGGCAGGCGCCCGCCTAATACAGCTTGCTTCCGCGCAATCCAGGTTCATCCCAGGCTTAGTCTGACCTGATCCAGTTGAGTGGCCCCTTAATCTGGCTGAATCGCCCGTAGTCGTTCTTGCGAAGACTTCCCTGGAGTTGCTTCCTACGCATTCTGCCTCATGCTGAACGTGAGCGTGAACGTGTGCATCGGCACGCTTGCACGTGCCCAATGACGCGTGCGTGTGCAGGTGCATGAGCCGTGCGTCTGGCACCGTCAGCGCGCGTGCATGCCTGGGGCTCCGCCGTCCCCTGCCCTCCCCCTCCTTTGTCCCTCTGTCGCGTTCGGGCAAGAAAGGGACGGAGGAAAGGAGAGGGAGGCGGAGGGGGATAGAGAGAAGGGCAGGTGTCTTGCCGTGCCCTTTCTCCGCCCCATCCCTCCTCTCCCTCCCTGGTGGAAGAGGAGGCCGAAGAGGGGCTTTCTCCAGGAGAAGGAGACGGTGGACGAGGAGGGATCATGAGGGTTGGAGGAGGAGGAGGAGGAGGGGGAGGATGATAACGGATGAGCAGGAAGAAGAGGAGGAATTGGACAAGGTGGAGCAGCGAGGAGGGTGCGGATCTCCGAACTTTCATACTTCTAGTTTTCTGTTGCTAACAGCGGATCCCAGGGCGTTCTCAGGTGCTCCTGGGGGCTCACCTGGACGGTCCCAAGGCTTTTGAGGAGGTGCAGGTGGTTCTGGGACTGGGGGGTCCGGGGGTTCTGGGTAGGGTTTCGGGGGTTCTCAGCATAGGGGGAGGGGTGAGGAAGAGTAGGGTACGACGAAAGCGAAGGAAGATGAAGATGACGAGAAGGGCAATGATGCCAAGGAGGAGGATTCTTTGCATATCTATATATATATATATATATGTATACAGATCTAGGCATATGTCAGACTGATGGGGGGACACGAAGATGAGGTGTGGCAGGAGGAGGACAAGTCGGACGACGATGATGACGAGGACGCCGAGGACGAGAGGGAGCATGCTGCTGATGATGATGATGATGATGAGGAGGAGGAGGAGGAGGAGGAGGAGGATGAGGATGAGGATGAGGATGAGGATGATGAGGATGATGATGAGGAGGAGGAGGCATACAGTGAGCGGAGGGGGCCAGCTATGTTTTCGAGTGGTGTTTTTCTTAGAAATGCGCTGCAGGCGGCTGTAATGAAAGGGTGGCCCATCGTCTCTCGGTTTCAGTTCTCATGTGTAATTCGTACTAGTCGACCTGGTCAATGTTGATGTGGGCGTGTCCTTTCTTGGTCATTTGCTGGTTCTAGACTGTGCCCCATGGGCAGGAACTCTGACGCCTGATTCTACTGATCGGATCGCAGCACGTGCGCCTTGCTTGCATCAGACATGAGCCCGCATCGCTGATGCCCTTCCTGAGGCACTGGCAACGTGTTCACACATACTTATGACGTTCCAGAACTAGCTGAAACACGGGGCCAACATTTCGCCATGAACGGTTTTTCCCGTTCTGGTCTGGAGAGCGGAAGGGTACCGCCTGAATTCGGAAGAGATTTCTATAGTTGAGCATGGGACGGACTAGAGTAGCAATACCTTCGGGTTGAGGGGACCCCTTCTCTCCACGTCGAGACCGTCCCTCACTGATTCGCCCTCTTCGGCCCTGGCAGTGCCGAGTCACGCCATTGTCCCGTCGCTGCAGCAGCGGGTCTTTGAAGGCGGAGAGAGGGAGCACCACAAGAATTTCTCGCCCAGCCCCACAAGAGAGCCGCGGCGATGCCGACACGACAGGGCCTTTCCGCCGTCGACCCCCGCCTCTGGCCGAGCAGCCCCCCTCTCTGAGCGCAGTCCTGCCCGCCGCCGCCCCCTCCGCTTTCCGCTCTGCCGGGTCCCACTATCCCCCCAGTCTCCTCGTCCTCATCTCCCCCGTGCCGTCGGCATTCCCTCCCACCGTCTGCCTCCGTCCCTCGCCGTCCTCCCATCCTTGACCTCCTTCCCCTCCTCCCTCTCCCTCTTCCCTCCCTTCCCTCTCCTCCACTCGATCCCCTCTCCCCCGTTGCCCCTCTCGGGGGAGGGGAGGCCTCCACCAGCACCAAGCCCTGATCGGCCTCAGGCCCTGCCGCGAGGCCAAGACTGGGCCCGTGAAGGTATGGTGGCATTGGATGCGCTCTTTCTTTTCGTGTGCACCTGCCCCTCTTTCCCATTTCCTCCCTTCCCTCCCTCTTCCCTCCGCCTTTCCTCGAAGAGGGAGCCTCGGTCGGTCCCTTCCGCTCGTGTCTTTATGGCCCTCGCCTCGCTCGCTTTCGGGCCCTGGTGGCCCGCCGTAGTCGCCGTGGGTTGCAGTTTGTCCCACTGCTCCCCCCCCACACGCCTCCTTGTGCGGCCCTCTGAAACCGCGCACCAGACTCCACTCCAGCCCTGCTAGGCCTTGCAAAGCCTTGCCGAGCCTTGCTAGGTCCTGGTAAGCCTTGCCACGACATGCGTAGTCCTGTTCAGCCATGCGAGGCCATGCTAAGCTCTGCCAGGCCCAGATGTGTTCTGCTAAGCACTGATCGGATCTGCCAAGCCCTGCTCGGCTCTGTGGAGCCTTGCCAGGCCATGCTAGGCCGTGCCGGGCGCTGGTAAGCCCCAGCACAGCTTTCAAGCTTGCTGAGCACTGCTCCCCCCTCTGAAGTATTGTTCATCCCTGCGAATCACTGCTAAGCCCTGCTAGGGCTTGCCAGGCGCTGCCATGCCGGCACGTCCCAGGATTGTGCCCGTCTCATGTATGCAGTGCATGTTAGCCGCAGAGGAGACAGAGAGAGGGAGAGGTAAACGAGAGTCAGAGAGAGAGAGGAGAGAGAGAGAGAGAGTGAGAACCATGATAAGCATAATGATGAAGCGAAGGACAAAAACTAGTACAATTCCTCTGGAATCCAGAGGGGCTCCACAATCCCCCGGCCTCGAGAACTCCCCCCTCATCTCTCCCTTCTCCTCCTCCTCCTCCTCCTCCTCCTCCTCCTCCTCCTCCTCCTACGCCTCATCCTCTTTCTCAACGTGGTCCTCCTCCTCCTCCTCCTCCTCCTCCTCATCATCATCATCATCATCATCATCATCATCCTTCTTCCTGCTGCCGCCTCTCGAGCCGATCGCTCGCGGGCCCCCCCCCTTCCCCCCGAGCGGCCCGAGGCGGCTACAAGCTGCCCGTGAGCTGGGCCGTGCATGGCGAGACGGTTCGGTGGTCCCCCGCCTAGGGATGGCCCCGATCATCGCCAGTCGTCGTCTTCGTCGTCGTCGTCGTGGGCTCCCTCTCTTCCTGCTCAGCCTCCACCTTCTCCTCCTCCTCGTCCTTCTCCTCCTCCTCCTCCTCCCCCTCCTCCTCCTCCTCCTCCTCCTCCTCCTCCTCCTCCTCCTCTTTCTCTGTCTCTCTGACAGATGGTCGGTGTCGGTTCGGCCCGGTCACTGTTACGGAGGGAAGGAGGGTGCAGTGCGTGCGAGGTCTTTCAGCAACGCCAGCGCCAGCTTCGAGCCCCGCGCCCAGCGCTTCAGCGGGCGAGGGGCATCTGGAGGGAGGGAGGGAGGGAGGGAGGGACGAAGAGAGGGAGGGGCTAGCTAGGTGCGCTCGCTCCATACCTGACATCCGACTCCTCCCACCCCTCCCTGCCCATTGCGCTGTTTCTTCTCTATCTGCCGACGCATGTCTTGGCGGACCTGGAACTCCAAAGGGGGGCCCACCGTGTTATGCGCACTCCGCAAAAGGGAAGCTGCGTACACTGGATGAGGTGGAGGTGGCGGATGCTCAGGAGGATGAGCATGAGGTTAAGGACGGAGTTGGAGAAGCAGGAGTAGCAGGGGAAGGCGGAAGAGGGGAAATTATGGAGGCGACAACGATGAACATTGACTCGGATCCAGAAAAGTGACTCGCGCTTGGGCGACGACAGGAGCAACTCGCCGTTCCGACAAGGAGACCCACGCAGCAGCGGGAGCGCGAATTTGAAGTACCGGAAAACACTCTGGTTGTAAAACGCCGTGCGAAAAGCACCGTGTCTTAATCCAACGTGTGAAGCTAAAGTGCGCTGAGAGGGCTGGATATCTTCCAGATAGAGTCAGGGGAGAGAGTGGACCAGTATTCCGACGAGCAGGAGGATGATGATGAGGAGGAGGATGAGGAGGAACAGGGAGGAGGAGGAGGAGGAGGAGGAGGAACATGAGGAAGAGCAGTATAATCAATACAATGAGGATGAGGCGGGATGCAGAACAGGAGTACTGCTGATGATGCTGCTGATTATGATAAGGCAGAGTATGAGGATATCCGCGTTGGCCAGTCTGGGCTGGTGATGATGAAGATCATGAGGACCAGAACTCGCTACCTGAAAAAGAGTTGACGGAGGCGGAGCAAGAGGAGTATGATAAGGATGATGGGGCAGGAGAAGGAATGAGGGAGGCATAGGCGGGATGTAGTTCGGAGGATGGGGAGGGAAGTAAAGAGGTGGTGTGACAGGAGCAGGAGGGTGATAATGATGATGCTGCTGATGATGATGACGATGCTGATGCTGATGATGATGATGATGATGATGAGGAGGAGGAGGAGGAGGAGGAGGAGGAGGAGGAGGAGGAGGAGGAGGATGAGAAGGAGGAGGAGGAGGAGGAGGAGGAGGAGGAGGGGTGAGGAGCATAACGCAAGAGGAGGAAGGGGATGGATAAGGAGGAGGATAAGGAGGAGGAGAGGGAGGAGGCAGAGGAGGAGGAGGAGGCGGAGGAGGAGGAGGAGGAGGCGATGGAGAGCTGAGGGCGCAGGGAAGAGTGAGGAGCAGCAGGGAAAATGAGAGACTTGGAGATAAGAGAAGGAGCAGGAGCGGCATGGAGAGGGTGGATGAGGAGGAGTATGGAGCAGTAGGGATGATGAGGGAAAAGGATGAGGCTGTCCCTGCTGGCTGATTAATTTACCCCCCCCTCCTTGTTTGTGTAGTTGCATGTCTAGCGGGCTTCTTCGCGGCCGCGGACTGCCAACCCCGTCCCTGTTCTCAGGCCGCGGGCTTGTGTTTTCTTCTGCCCCTAGGGGGTCTAGGCCACACCCGGGCGCTAGTGCGCCCTGCTGGAAGATATACGCTTCTTGCCTTTCTTATACAGGCGGCAACCTTCGTAGCTGTTATCCTGCACGTAGCCTCTTGGCTGAGAGTGTGCTATCCTCTCTCTCTCTCTCTTTCCCCCTGTTTTCCTCCTCCCTGTCCTTCTTCGCCTCTCTCTTTTGGACGTGCCCTCGATTTGTTTGCGGCCATGTCTTGTTAGTTCTTCTTCGGCGCTGACGCCGTAGGGTAATCCGCAGCATCCGCCGCCGCAGGTAGTTCGCTTTGCAGTTAGGCTGGCGCTGGGGCAGTGTGCCAGGCTCTGCGGACTGGACGTGGTCGCTCTTCCTCCTCCTTTCGCGTTGTGCCCGCTTGCCCTCTTGTCCCTCTGTCTCGCTACCTCCCCTCTCGATAGCTTGGCCAGGCAATCTCGAGTCTGTTTTGGTTTGTCTCTGGCATCAACTGTGCGGGTGCATACTGCACGCTAGCAGTGTGAACGTTTGGCCCGTGCGGCGCTGCAGACGCCAGTCTGCTTCAACTACAACTTGCTGCGTGCGCTTTGATGGGAGCTTGTATCGGAGCAGGGGCTGCGTGTGGCGGCATCCGGCGTGTGCGCTGAGAACACTTGGCGTCAACGTCCCGAGCCGTTCCCAGCCTCCCGCCCCGCGCCGATCTCGTAGCTTCAACGTCCCGAGCCTTTCAGAGCCTCCCGCCTCGCGCAGCTGAGCCCATGCGCTATCCGCTCGCAGGGCACGGCGTGTCGCTGGGGCCGCCGCCGCGACACGCTGAGCAAGGGTTCCTGACTTCTCTGGAGTCGCCACGAGGAGCTCCCTGCCCCCCCCCGTCACGCGCCGCCCTCCTCGTCCCAGTGCCCTTCCGCGTCAGGAGGCGGGGTGCCACGCGGGGCGGTCGGGGCAGTTCCGCCCGTCCCCGTCGCGCCGAGGGTTCGGGCTAGACCTTTCTCGATTTCTCCTGTTCCCATCCTCCCACTCGGGCCCCTTCCCGCTGACCCCTCCCGTTCCCCTCCCGCCCCGTCACTCTCTCCCCCCCTCCTCCTCCGCCTCCTCCTCCGCCTCCTCCTCCTCCTCCTCCTTCTCCTCCTCCTCCTCCTCGTTCTCCTCTTCTCTCCTCGACCCCCAGCTATCCGATCGCAGGGCATAGCGCGTCTGCGGGGCCGCCACCGCGACACGCTGAGCAGATGTTCCCGTCCGTATCCTTTGCGACGAGGAGCCCCGTCCCCGTCCTCGTGCTCCTCTCAGCCTTGTCCTCCTCCTCCTCCTCCTCCTCCTCCTCCTCCTTCTCTTCCGTAGCCATTTTGGCTCAAAATGTTGGTGCCCCGTGGCAGAGCACGGAGACCCCTGGTCCGGGGACTGCTAGGACCGCTGCTTTCCGCCTTCGCCGTGCCCGCGGCGTTGAGCATTTGCATATCCTTCGCTGCTGAGGCGCAGCTTACATATCTCTCGCCGCCAGCGCTGGCCCCGCGCACGATAGCCTCGCGATGGGTGTGCCTGGTGTCGCCAGCTCCTCCGACTCCTGGGCCGACTACACGGACAAGGGCAAAGGGCAAGGACATTGTTGCTGCCGACCCCTGGGCCGCTGGAGCTCAGAAACTTGCCGCGATCGACCTCCCCGCACACCAGCGGAAGGTGCTCACCGATCTCCTCCAGACCCAGGTCGACAAAGCCGCCGCCGCCTTCGAAGCCACATCCAAACAAGTTGCAGCTGCTGCGCAAGCTGAGTTCCTGGCCAACATCACGAAGCTCACCGAACAGCTCAGCAACCGCCAGGAGTCTGCCGAGAGGGATATTACCGAACTCAAAGGCCGTGCTGACCGTGCTGAACGCCTCCAAGGCGAACTCAAGGCAAGCGTGGACGCTCTACAGCAAGCTCTTCGCCATGCCGAAGCTCTCCACCCAGCCATGGATTTGGACGCCATGGGTGCCTGGGGCCGCCCACCGAATGCTGCAACCTTCTGGTGTGGGGCTGCCTCAGAATTCTCCGTCGCCTCGCTCAAGACTGCGCTCGCCTCCTGGTTCGAAGCCGCCGACGTGGACATCACTGCGCTCCGCATCAACTCATAGGGCCCAGCACGGAGAATTTCGTTCACACTCACTGGTGGCAACTCGATTGCTCTCTCGCGAGCACAAGCTCTACATCGCGCACTTCGGCAAGGTCGTGAATGGCGACGCTTCCAGGTGGAATCGGACTCTGGACTCACTGCCCTCTACGTCTCCGCGGACAAGTCGCCACGCATGGTCCGCCAAGAAGTTCAACTCAAAAAGCTCAACAAGCCATCAATGACAATTTCCCCACGCTCGATACTCGGGTTCACCGCACTGGAGGCTTCCTGTCCGTCGACGGCGCTCCCATCGTCCAGGTCACAGCTGGCGCCACTCCTGATGCAGCCACCCAGGTCCGCTGGTCCGGCGCAGCTGCCCCCGCTGGCATCCCTATCACCGAGCATGCGCCATTGGCCACCGCGCTGGCCGCTGCATTCGCCAACCCACTGGAGGCAGCACGGTGGCTTTAGCATGCGATGGTCGCCGTGGTTCACGAAACCACACGCCGACGGCCTCAACTTGGTCTCGTGGAGTGCGCAGGCGCTCAATGGCAGATCGGCACCAAGGCGGGCCCTCAAGCGACAGCTGTTGCTCCGTTACATGCGGCAACGAGCGGTCATCGCCATCCAAGAGACGCACGGCGACAGCATCGACGTGGACCTCCTGGCCGCGGGCTCCGACCACAAGTACATCGCCTTCCACTCAGCGCTAGTGACTGACGGCCAATCCTCGGAGACCGCAGGCGGAATCGCTTTCCTGGTTCCCTTTGACCGAGCTGAACTCCAACTGCCGCATGATCAACGACCTCTACGTTCATTTCGCGCGATCGTCCCTGGGCGCATTGGTGAACTACGCATTCAAGACGGGACAAGACAGCATGAGACAACAATCTTCAACATTCACAACTACGACCTCAGCGATTCTGACCGTCAGCGCTTCAAAGCTGCGTGGCAAGCAGCTGCTCAACGCTCAGCCCTCCGCCCAGACAGCCACGACTACTACATGATTGGTGACTTCAATATCGCCCAGACGCCGCCGAAGAGCCTGCTTCACCCCGCCGCAGACTCCACCGCCGAGCGCTACCACTACCAGCCTGTCTTTTGGAAGAACATCTTCTCACAGATGATGGAGATCACTGCGAAGGCCACCGCTCACCGATGCGTGGCCAACATGACGGAGGCGACCATCGACAGATGCTTCGTCTCGATCAACGCGTCCAACATCCGCGCATCGAGACGCTTCTTGTTGCCGATGGCCGACCGCTCGACCGAGAAGGGGAGCCCATCAGCGATCGCCAGATTCTACATCTACGGCTTCGACCTCGTCAGCCACGTCCAGCCAGCGAACGCGGCTTCCCCGCCTTCCTGTTCGAATCCAAGCACTACAAGTTCTACTACAAACG